TGGTACAGAAGGGAGTCACCCCTGAGTGGTACTTGGGGCGGTGGTAAGACTGAAACTACCGGCCAACAGTACAACCGCTCAATGGAGTGGTACTACCGCCATGGGCAGAAATACACAAAACAGAGAACTTTGGGGAACCCCTCTCTTCTCGAATGGAGGGTGTCTGGTGGGTGCAGAGAACGTGTACGTGAAATGATTCACCCAATACCATCCGATGGGGATTCCCTCTTAAAAGTACGGATATCCTACGACCCAAGGAATAAAACGTCGGGAACTCCATCTTCGATCTTTTCCGCATAGAGGGAAGGCCTAACCGTCTTGCCCCGCACAATGTGTACCTGAGAAAACTAGGACGCACGATTAGTCCACACGAGTGTTTTCATCATCACCAAAACCTTAAGGTAGAAGATGCCCTTACACCAATATTACCAATTCTTTGACATTCATCACAAGATAAAACAAAATTACAGGCATCCTTGAAGAGAGTAGGCCAATAAAAACCAGATTGCAATACCTTGTGAGCAGTTCTATCTCCCGCATGATGTCCTCCATAAGCTTCGGAGTGACATTTCTGCAGGATTTGTTCCTGTTCATGCTCATGTACACAATTTCTAATAATACCTTCTACTCCTTCCTTATAAATATGTGGGTCATCCCAAAAGTAATGTCTTAAATCATAGAAGATTTTTTTCTTTTATTGATATGTGAAACTAGGTGGTATATATTTAGCAATAATGTAATTAGCATAGTCAGCATACCAAGGAGTGTTATGAGAAACATTTATTGTAGCTAGTTGTTCATCTGGAAAGCTATCATCAATAGGTAGTGGGTCATCAAGAATATTTTCTAACCTAGACAAGTTATCAGCTACGGGGTTCTCTACTCCTTTTTTATCAATAATATGTAAATCAAATTCTTGTAGTAAAAGAACTCATCTAATTAGTCTAGCTTTAGCATCTTTCTTTTCCATAAGATATTTTATAGCAACATGATCGATATGAACAATTACTTTGGAATCAACAATGTAAGACCTGAATTTATCACAAGCAAACACAACTACAAAAAATTGTTTTTCAGTAGTAGCATAATTTCTTTGGCCACTGTCTAGAGTTTTACTAGCATACTAGATAACATTTAATTTCTTATCAACTCTCTATCCTAGAACAACACCAATAGCATAATCACTAGCATCACACATAATTTCAAAAGGCAAGTTCCAATCAGGTGGTTGAACAATAGGTGCAGAAGTTAAGGCTTTCTTAAGTGTTTCAAATACTTGTACACAATCATCATCAAAAACAAATGGAACATCCTTTTGTAAAAGATTTGTAAGAGGCCTAGAAATTTTAGAGAAGTCTTTCATAAACCTCCTATAGAAACCAGCATGACCAAGAAAACTACGAATACCTTTAATATCTTTAGGGCATGGCATTTTCTAAATTGCATCAACTTTAGTTTTATCCACCTCAATACCTCATTCGAAAATTTTATGCCATCTGATAGAATGGTGCGTACATTCCATCAAACTCTGAGTCCAGACAAGGAAAGAATAAATAAATATAAGAAAAGGGTGTCCGTTGTCCGACATGAGGTTTGGGTCCGACCTATCTAAGGGCATCTCCAATACTAACCCGCAAATGGACACCGTAAATTTCTGTTTTTATGTTCGGACGTGGTCCGCGGACTTCATGTGAAAGATAAAATGCTATTCAAAAACTAATCTGGTTGAGGAGAGAGAGAGAGAGAGAGAGAGAGAGAAAGACTGGAGGGGGGCCATGCGTGTGGTGAGATCTTGTGGTGTGGTGTCCGATTGGGAAGAGGAGAGGAGGGGCCACCATGCATGTGAAGAGAGAAAATAGAGGAGGACCACACAAAGACTTTGTGGTTCTCAAGTGCATGTCCAGACTTCCGCAAAGCCCCTCAAGTTTGTTGCTAGGATACCAAATTCTTATGTCCAGACTGCTAAGAGGACATATAAGGGTCCACAATGGATATCAAACGTGGTCCAAACATATAGTGGAGGTTTGAGGGTCCGTTTAGAGCATCTACAATCAGACTTGGGAAATCCCCCCCCCCCATACGTTCGCGAATGCGCCCGGGCACGCCCGCGAAAGCAGCTGGACCGTCCCTCATATGTCGTGCCCGACAGTCACATACCTCAAATACAGACTCTCAAATATATGCAAATCCATACACATCCATCATACATGCAAATGTAGCACGTAAATAACAAATGTTGGTAGCGAAAATACATAGTTTTTACATAAAATTTATTTTAAGTGCACAACTCAAACATTAGCTATTTGGTTTCCATTGTGAGTCCACATATGCTCCACAAGATCATTGAGTAGCTCTGTGTGCACCTGATGATCTCGAAGATTCTAATGCATTTGCAGAAAGTTCATAAGCTGATTTTCATCTTGATCTTCTGAGATTTGAACTTGTTCTCCATGCGCTTCAAAATCATTGGTTTGGGCTACACCATCATGCACCCTCATCGTCGACAATCAAAATAACACAGCATGTCGCCAGCTGCCACTAAGTTTATGATTTCCACATCATTGCAGCTCCACGAAAAATTCCCCAACGAGGTTGAAGCACTCCAAATGCCCTCTCCACATCATTCCTAACTGCTCCCTGCAAAGTGGCTTTGTTACCTTGTGGTTCAGATATAGTCTTCACAAATGTCGCCCGCTAAGGATAGATGCCATCAACAAGATAGTATCACATGATGTAGTCACGACCGTTGACAGTGTAGTTGCATGGCGGCGATTCCCCGTTACAAAGCCTCCTAAACACGGGAGATCATTGAAGCACGTTGATGTCGTTGTGAGAACCCAGTATTCCAAAGAAAGCATTTCAAATCCCTAAGTCATGTGATGCTACTTCTTCCAATATAATGGTCGCCTCTTTGGTGTGACCTTCATGCATTCCGCGCAAACCTTTGGGGAAGTTCTTCCATTGCCAATGCATGCAATTGATTGATCCGAGCAACCTGTAAACCCTATGGCCTCTCCAATAGCTAATAATGTTTCTGGGTCCTGCACATTTGGTCTCTCAGATACTCTGCTCCAAACACCTGCACCATGATGCGGGCAAACCTGATAGCAGTCTTCAGGCATGTGCTCTCCCCCATCCGGGCCATCTCACCAACGGCATCGGCGGCAGTACAAAGTGCAAGCATCCTTGGAGCAAACGTGCATTTCTGCTTAGAGAGAAAGAAAGATGGCCACAACAATCCCTTGTGAGATTCAAGTAGTCATTTTGTGCCTCCACTCCCTCCATAACGCACAAAACAATGGTTTGCACATACGAAAACAGCGATGGAACCATGGATCATGCGGGAAAGTTGGGCCCGGAGCAAAGTAGGCCTTATGAATTAGTCGTGCTCCGGAAACCCTATCCTGATTGATCACTCTTGTCTCTTTGATTGAGACCTTGAAGTTGAGAATATTCTCCACCTATCGGTCCATTTCCTCTTGCATGCTCATGAGCATGATCATGTCCACTTCTTTGTCTGAATCCGACGAATCGAAGAACTCATATTCAGTCATTTCATCAAGCTCCGTCGGCCCATACTCCTTGTCCGACGAATCATCGGAATCCATTGTTTTCCCTACGAATAAATCACAAAAAATCAGGTCGGAAAATGTGTCGAACACATAGCACGCAAGGGGAAGCTAGATAGTTTCCATAAGTACTGTGGTGGCGTCCGGGTCGTCGACGATGTATGCGGCGGCGAGCACGGTAGAGAGGACTGTTGTACCGGTGCTGCCAGCGCCGAGGCTCGGAACGGCTGTGGAGCGAGGGTGTCGGCGAACCTACGAGACGTCCGACGCGGAGGAGAAAGAAAAGATGAGAGAGCAAATGGATCTGATACGTCGAGAGGGCGGATTTGATGCAATTTATGGTGGGGTAGGCCTGTCGGGTCCGACATAGCGGACGAGTCTGGATGCCCCTGAGCATCCTCATATTCGTCCTACATTTGGATTGGATATGAGGAGTGCTAGTCAACTCGGGCGTTTGAGGCCCGTTTGAGGCACCCGTCTGTGTTGGTTTTTTTACCGATCATTGACCAGGCTGTCCGCCCAGGCGTTTAGGGGAGGGGGTTTGACGCACCCGGCTATCGAACCTCTTAGAAGATACCCTAAGGCGCTAGGGCTGTACACATAGTTTAAAATTGCGCGCTAAACAGTTTAGCGGCTCCTTCCTCAAATCACTAACGCTATATGGCGCTTTAGGGGCTAATGTGAATAGAGGCGCTAAAGAGTTTAGCGGCTGCTTTCTCAAATCACTAACGGTCGGTATATCACACTTTAGGGGCCGCTAATGTGACTAGAGGATTGACAAAAAAGAAAAATACAAATACAAAAAAAAAAAGTGAGACAAAAATACAAATAGAAATAACCATGAGAACTAGAAAGCCCAGACATGACAAATAAAAGGCCCAAAAGATTGCCAAGTATGGCCGGCCTCCTTGCCCACTTCAAACTTCGCACGAAAGGCCCAGAAGAGAAACAAAAACTCCGAGACATAAAAACTACAAACTATTACATAGAAGAAAGATTAGACACACTGATACAAAACCAATGGTGAACAGGTGTAAAACATAGACAAACGGTAAAAAAAGAAAGGGAGTACTTAGAACTCATCTAGGAGTAGATGAGACATAATTGGGTCTCATTCACTTTGAAAACAAAAACAAATACAACCCACGTCAGCACACACGCATCTTATAGCATCACATCCAATGGCTATAAAATATGAATGAAACCAAATTATATCTTATTTAGATGAGTTCTAGCAAAACTGAAAAAGAAAAACTACTAGGTGATTTGCATTTGGAGTGGCGTATATGCGTGCGTATATAAGCCCCTAAAGTCACCAGCGTGACGCAGAGGTTGCCAACCCGTGCCCTAGCTGATTGGCTCGCTTGTGCTATATAAACCCCTCTACCAGCACGACGGTACCACACACCAAAGCATAGCTAGCCTAGACAGATGGAGGGCATCTACTTCCAGTTGCTCCTTGTCTCGCTGGTGGCCCTGGCGCTCCAACAGCTGCTGAAGCTGGCCAAGAAGCCTAGCAGGAGGATGCCGCCGGGACCGTGGAAGCTGCCGGTCATCGGCAGCTTGCACCACCTCATGAACGTGCTGCCGCACCGCGCGCTGCGGGACCTGGCCAACGTTCACGGTCCCCTCATGATGCTGCAGCTCGGCGAGACGCCGCTCGTCGTGGCGTCCTCCAAGGAGATGGCACGGGAGGTGCTAAAGACGCACGACAGCAACTTGGGCAGCCGGCCCAAGCCACTCGTCGGCGAGATCGTTGGCTACAATTCTAACAACCTCATCTATAGTCCCTCTGGCGACTCCTGTACCAGGACCCGGAAGCTCTACACCACGGAGCTCCTCTGCACCGGGCGCGTGCTCTCCTTCCGCCACGTCAGGGAGGAGGAGGTATGGTGACTGGGTTATTTCCTCATGACAGCATATCCATGTACGAGTACTAAACATCATCACTATGTGTGCTCGCAGGTGATGGTGCGAGTGGAGCAGATCCGCAAGGCGGGGCCGTCAACGCCGGTTAACCTGAGCCTGATATTGCACGAGCTGACCACCGCCATGCTGTTGCGGGCAGCATGGGGGAAGACGCGGATCAAGAACATGCCGGAACTCCTGGCTGGTGTGAGGACCGGCATAGCCCTGTCCAGCGGCTTCAGTCTGCCGGACCTCTTCCAGACGTGGAAGCGCTCGGTGCTCGCCGGGGTCACGGGCATGAAGCGAAGCCTCGAGAGCCTCCACAAGACGATTGACTCCGTGTTTGAGGAGGTCATCGAGGAGAGGATGTGCGCGCGCGCTGAGAATGTCAAGACTGGCGCAGAGAACGTCGATGAGAACCTCGTGGACGTGCTCATCGGCATGCAGGAGAAAGGCGACTCCGTCTTCCCTATCGACAAACCCAGAATCAAGGCCTTCCTTCTGGTAAGACCTCCACAGGAACTTTCTGTTCTACTTTCTCGCGCTTCTAGTTCCGAACTGGCTAACTGTAGCATGCAGGACACGCTGGCGGCTGGGACGGGGACGTCCGGGTCGGCGATGGAGTGGACCATGTCGGAGCTGATTCGGAATCCAAAGGTTATGGCGAAGCTCCAGGAGCAGGTCCGGGAGGCGTTCCGGGGGAAAGCAGTGGTGACGGAGGGGGACATGCAGGCAGCCGACATCCGGTACCTAAAGCTAGTGATGAAGGAGGCGCTCCGGCTGCACCCGCCGGCCCCGCTGCTGGTCGGCCGGGAGAGCATTGACGTGTGCGAGGTGGACGGGTACACGATCCCAGCCAAGTCACGCGTCCTCGTCAACGTGTGGGCGATCGGCCAGGACCCCAAGTACTGGGACGCCCCCGAGGAATTCAAGCCGGAGCGGTTCGAGAAGGGCGACATCGATTTCATGGGCAGCCACTGGCCCACTACGAGTTCACCACGTTCGGCGCCGGCCGGAGGATGTGCCCCGGCATTAGCTACGGCCTCGCCAGCATGGAGCTCGCCCTCGTCTCCCTCCTCTACCACTTCGACTGGTCGCTGCCGGAGGGCGTCAGCGAGCTTGACATGGGGGAGGCACCGGGACTCGGTGTGCGCCGCCGGTCGCCACTGCTGCTCCGGGCCACCCCCGTCCTCCCGGCGGACTGCGCGGAATAGGAGCTTCTCTACTTTGATGATTTGCAACTACTCGTACGATCTGTATAGGAGTATATACGGATATCAGTTGCAACCGCTTCGCGCACTATGTATCTCGCGCGATGTCTAGTATGGGTAATGTGGTCGATACAAAAAAATAAGTATGGGTAATGTGCAGTACATCTGTACGTACACGTGTTTTACTGTGCGGTTAAGTTGTTTCAATCATGTAACAAGTGTAATGTGGTAATAAAATAATGGTTTGTATAGTCATCGGAATGATGTGTCTACTCATAGCAGGCAGTAGCAAAGGTGCTTGGAGGAGAGAGAAACTGCAACGACGTGCATACGCTATGTTTAAATCACCATCCTTGTCATTTTAGTCATTGCTCAATCGTCTATTGCTAATTATCATGATCTAAGCAAGAGTTTAATGGAGTTGATTAAGACTAGGTTCTACCAGCATAAAGATTAGCACAATGCAATTCATAGAAGAATAAAATCCTCTTTACTAAAAGCCCCCTTATAAAGTAAAATACAAACCTTTCACAAACCATACCCACTTTCATACGTAAGGTGGGTCATCCGCCGGAATCTACCATATCTAAAAAAAATTAGAAAAGGATGAAGACCCCCGGTCTATGCATCTGGACGATGCATATAACCATTTTATTAATTATTAACACAAGACCTTACAAAGTCATACAACAATAAGACTAAAGCCACCGTCTAAGCAACATCTGTCGCTACTCCTATCCAGTTGATGAAGGGGCGTGGATAGTCTGGGCCTAATACCAAACAGACCTCGCAGCCAAACCTAACATCTAAGACCTGAGGTCCCAAACAAGACGTCTACCGGGTATGGGCACCCACCAGTCTGACGTGCTCCTCAACCAAGACGTCTGCCGGGTATGAGGCCGCCATAGCCACCTTCCACCAATCCATCTTCAGAGCATTACTGTTGCATGACCTTGCTCGGTCTAACTACCACCGACGCCACCACGACGCCAGACAGCGTCGACCTCCTGCGCGAGTCCATCATCGCACATCAGACGCCTAATCTCCAGGGCGCCATGCCATCGAGATCCGGCACCATCAATGTGTATGATGAAGCATCGCTCCTCCTCTTGTCACCTCCAGCCATCACACTTGCTTCAAAACGATGCCCCCATGAGGGAAAGCGATACTAAGAACGCCATCATGTCCGATCCGGGAGACCCAGATCTAGGGTTACCCCCGGAGCATCCCGAGCCTGATGACGCCAACTGCAACGACGATGCCTCGACAAGGAAACGACATCAAAGACGCCGCCATCATCCGCCATGACCGTAGTCGGCGCGATTTTCATCGGCAGTTGCGCCACCGGGCGTACGCCGCCGGCCTTGCTGGTCCCTTCAACCATAGCAAACTCCAAAACGATGCCCTGAAGAGGGACTACGATGCAAAAGCACCGCCATCGCTCGTTCCCATGTAGATCTAGGGTTTCTCCCAGAGTTGCCTGAGTTGTCAAGGACCAGATAAGGATGGAATCTCGTAGATCCATCCAGCTGCCGACGTGTCACACTCGCCATCGCGCCGACCGTGACCCAGAGACCAAGCTCACGCCTGGGCTTAGATCCGGCCGCGCCGCCGCCGATCTGGTCACGCCGCCGCCGTCCCTGGCGATCGTGGCGCCCCAGATCTTGAAGTCGCCTGCCATGGGGTATGGGATCGCCGGAGCGCCGCCAGCCCCCGCCGTGACGTCCGGCCGCACGCCACGCTCCAGCTCGGGGGTGCCGGCCCGCGCCAGCTCCTCACGAGCGGGAGGGCACCGAGGAGGACGAGAGGGGGAGTCGGGGGCAACGGGATCTGGGGGCCTCCTAGCCGCCGCACAGGGACGACTCGGGCAGCTCCAACAAAAAGGACTTGATGGTTAAGAAGTCTGGTCCTCAAGAATAAGTAGGAACCTAAATTCGCCTCCGTGAGGATTTGAACCCAGGTGTTAGGTTTGTACATGCACTACCCCAACCAGTTGAGCTAAGCTCACTTCCCCAACCATATCTAAATAGCTAACCCCCACTACTAGAAATTCCCTAGCTTCTCCTTAAGCCACATCATCCAAATTATTTTAACCGTTGAATATACTAGATTAGTCTATAATAACCATCGGATCTACACTTGGAGCCACTGCATCAAGCTCATGCACGCGCATGCAATGCCTCTGATAACTGACAACTCAACATGCATACGTCGGCATTTATTGTATCCATGGCCTATACTTGATATGTGATCACACCGGCTACCTTGAAGTAGGGCTACTAGTGGTGACAAAGTTTATTGATCCTTCCGGTGCCAAATGACATATTTATACACATAGCAGGTTATTTCCACTGCCGTTGGTAATGTTCTTTCTTTTTCATGTCCCCATTGTGTGTCATAGCTATTGTGTCCTTCTCAACTGAGAGAGTTAAGTGTAACTGGCATCTTTTGTCCTTATTAGAATCCTAGCCACTGTTAGGAATTAATTAATTAGATTAATTAATTGTAAACCCATGCTATGTCGGTGGCCATGTTTGGGCAACCGCCTCCTTTGTAACTGCCTTATAATGAGGTATACATACCCCAATCTTCAATCAATGAAACAATTATTTCATCATTTGCTCCTTCCTCTCTCGTTTTACTTTCACACGTTATCAGCACTTTCCCCTAACCTGAGCGATTAGGTCATGAGAGAAAAGACTGGCAGCACCTGTGGCCCTCACGTATGGCAATCACTGGGGCGCTCTTGACCCACACGGTTGCGCGCCCCTGCGGCGGAGCAGCGCCCTCGCCCACATCAGCGATCCAGCGACGACGGGACGCCTGCACGTGGCCGATGGCCTGCACGCGGTGCTCTTTTCACGGAAAGCCAACACCGCCGGCAACGCTCGCTCACGAAGTCCCCGAGCGCGCCATCCGGCCCTCTGTGTGACGCCCCCGATTCAATCGTATACTAATCATGCACGCAAATATGTACGATCAAGATCAGGGACTCACGGGAAGATATCACAACACAACTCTAAAACATAAATAAGTCATACAAGCATCATAATACAAGCCAGGGGCCGCGAGGGCTCGAATACAAGTGCTCGATCATAGACGAGTCAGCGGAAGCAACAATATCTGAGTACAGACATAAGTTAAACAAATTTGCCTTAAGAAGGCTAGCACAAACTGGGATACAGATCGAAAGAGGCGCAGGCCTCCTGCCTGGGATCCTCCTAAACTACTCCTGGTCGTCGACAGCGGCCTGCACGTAGTAGTAGGCACCTCCAGTGTAGTAGGAGTCGTCGTCGACGGTGATGTCTGGCTCCTGGGCTCCAGCATCTGGTTGCGACAACCAGGTAGAATGAAAAGGGGAAAAAGAGGGAGAGAAGCAATCGTGAGTACTCATCCAAAGTACTCGCAAGCAAGGATCTACACTACATATGCATGGGTATATGTGTAAAGAGGCAATATCGATGGACTGAACTGCAGAATGCCAGAATAAGAGGGGGATAGCTAGTCCTATCGAAAACTACGCTTCTGGCAGCCTCCGTCTTGCAGCATGTAGAAGAGAGTAGAATGAAGTCCTCCAAGTAGCATCGCATAGCATAATCCTACCCGGCGATCCTCCCCTCATCGTCCTATTAGAGAGCGATCACCGGGTTGTATCTGGCACTTGGAAGGGTGTGTTTTATTAAGTATCCGGTTCTAGTTGTCATAAGGTCAAGGTACAACTCCAAGTCGTCCTGTTACCGAAGATCACGACTATTCGAATAGATTAACTTCCCTGCAGGGGTGCACCACATAACCCAACACGCTCGATCCCATTTGGCCGGACACACTTTTCTGGGTCATACCCGGCCGCGGAAGATCAACACGTCGCAGTCCCACCTAGGCACAACAGAGAGGTCAGCACGCCAGTCTAAACCTAAGCGCACAGGGGTCTGGGCCCATCGCCCTTAGCACACCTGCATGTTGCGTACGCAGCCGGAAGCAGAACTAGCCCCCTTAATACAAGAGCAGGCTTAGTTCCAATCCGGCGCGCGCCGCTCAGTTGCTGATGTCACAAAGGCTTCGGCTGATACCACGATGCTGAGTGCCCATAACTGTTCCTGCGTAGTTGGTTAGTGCGTATAGGCCAGTAGCCAGACTCAGATCAAATACCAAGATCTCGTTAAGCGTGTTAAGTAACCGCGAACGCCGAACAGGGCCAGGCCCACCTCTCTCCTAGGTGGTCGCAACCTGCCCTGTCGCTCCGCCACAAAGTAACAGTCGGGGGCCGTCGGGAACCCAGGCCCACCTCTCCCGGGATGGAGCCACCTGTCCTTCCAGCCCCCACATCGGAATCACTTGCGGGTACTCAACGAGCTGACCCGACTTTAGTCACCATCTGTATAATATGTATATATGTGTAGTATATACCCGTGATCACCTCCCAAGTGATCACGGCCCGATAGTATAGCAAGGCAGACTGACAAGAATGTAGGGCCAATGATGATAAACTAGCATCCTGTACTAAGCATTTAGGATTGCGGGTAAGGTATCAATGACTGTAGCAACAATGACAGGCTATGCAGCAGAATAGGAGTAATCGAATAGTAACATGCTACACTACTCTAATGCAAGCAGTATAGAGAAGAATAGGCGATATCTGGTGATCAAGGGGGGGCTTGCCTGGTTGCTCTGGCAAGAGAGAGGGGTCGTCAACACCGTAGTCGTACTCAATCGCATCAACGCCAGTCTCAGGGTCTACCGGAGAAGAAGAAGGGGGAAGAAATAGTAAATATGGAGCAAACATGGCATCACAAAATATAACAAGGCAATACGCGGTGCTAGGTATGCCCTAACGCACTAGGAGGTGATACCGGCGAAGGGGGGGACATCCGGGAAAGTATCCCCGGTGTTTTGCGTTTCCGGACAGATGAACCGGAGGGGGAAAGTTGCGTGTTCGATATGATAGGGGTGTGTGGCGGACGAACGGGCTGCGTATCTGGTTTCGTCTCGTCGTTGTGAGCAACTTTGATGTACAAAGTTTTTCCATCCGAGCTACAATTTATTTTATATTAATTTTCAAAGGTTTATTCAATTTATGGATTTATTTATATTCCAAATTTAATCAGTAAATAC